TCCTATTTATCTCCCTGACTCCAGTCTGGACCCCTACCCCCACTCTCAAATAAAACATCCATCCTCCACCGTGCTGCCGCGTGAAGTTCCCAAAGGTCACCTGACCAGGTCACGGAGTAAGACCCTTCATCCAGGGCTGCTCCAGCCAAAGGATAAGATCCAAATGCCTTAAATGGCACACAAGACCCTCTGTCACCTGACCCTGTTTGATTTTCTAGTAAATGCCAGAAGTGCCTTAGTCTCCAGCACATACCATGCCAGCATTTTGTTTTGTTTTGTTTTTTCTTTACCTCTAGCAGATCCCTCTGCCTGGAATGCCTTCCACCCTCCCTTTCCGTGGCCTGGCTAACTTCAGTTCATCCTTTGAAACTCCCTTTGACTCTCCTCTGCCCTGGGAGGTCCTCTCCAAGTCCCCATTCCCCACACCGTGGATGCTCTTCCATACTGACTACAGGACGTTAAAGAGGCCTGTGGCTTGGCCGAGCCTTCTCTCTGGGCTGGGGAAAACCAGGGAGAGGAAGTCACGTCACTTTGGTGTCCAGCCCCCAATACAGAGCCCGGCCATGTGGGTGCTCCATGCACGTGTGGCTCTGGGCTGAAATGTCTGGTGGTGACCCTGGAGGAGGAGCAAATTACCGGGAAGGCTGGCATGAATAACCCCAGGGAAAACCCCCACATCACATTTTCCTTGTTGTCCCTGGCAGGGCCAGGACGGCGCCTCTGACTGAATGCAGCTGTGACCCGATAACCAACTATCTGGCGTCTGGTTTGATTGCATTTGATTTCAGAATTTGATTTCTGCTTCCTTCTAAAAACCTCATTCTCCTATGTCTGTGGTAACCAAGAATCTCTCTAGTGGAGGCAGGCTGTTCTCCACGGAGCAGCCCCCACCTGCCTCCTCAGGGCAACAACAAAATGGTTGGTCATGAGCTGGAGGGTAGAGACGTGTTTCCCCCACACCTGCCCCTGCAGCTTGCAGAGCCCCTGGCGCGAAGCTGGCCCTCCAGAATACTTGCTGAATGAGTGAATGCGTCCAGTTCACCAAGATTGGGGACGGGAAGCCTGAAGCTGCTGGGGACCGGTGGGGGCAGACAGCCTGGGATTAGACTTGATCCACAGATAATCCCCCAAATCCAGAAGCCACCTGGACAGCAGCCTGGGACTGAGCTCCATCAACGGATGCATGTTGATGCCGCAGCTGATTCCGTGACAGGATTTTCCAGGGGCCAGAAAACGGCTCCTCAGAAAACAACTATTCTAATTATTATTGGAGTGCGACAGAGAAAAGGCCTGTCAATCCTTTAAGGGCAGAATCCATATGGGGAGATTAACAGCTGGCTCTCCTCTCTCCATTTTTATTTTTCAGCACTTTTATTACGGAAATTTTCAAGCAAACAGAAGAGTGGAGAACACAGTATAAGGGACCCCCCCCCCCC